CAAAGAATTTAATATTCAATTAATATTAAAGAAGTATCCAAAATTTAAGAATCCTGCCTATGTATCCTCTCACTGATGAGTACATCTATATTACCTAACAATTGCATGCAAAGTTTTTGATTTACTGTACCCAGATTGAATAAAATGTTTCATGATAATATATATAACTTATTTACTTTTTAATGGTTGTAAAAGAATAATTTAATATATTCAGAGTTCTCACGGTACTTGAAAGACCTTGAAACTACTTGAATTTTGTTCGAAAAAATCTCTATAAATTTGAATTCTGTGATAGGATTTTTGAAAAGTTTTTGATTTTCTCGGAATAATTTTCAAAATAATTTTTCCTACAAAAAAAAAGAACAAAAAATGTAAGCAAATTTATAGAGATTTCGATCACCCCCTTTCCTTTCTCAGTTTTGTTTACTGAAGAATAGTTCTAAGTCAGCTAAGTGCGAATCTAGGAGCCTGAACTAAATTTAGAATAATGCCTTTTCCCTTACCGCTCCTGCGATTGGATCACAAAATGCAGGTAGGATGTGGGAAAACCAATGGTGAAAAGAAAATATTGACAAAACCAAGTCTAGTTATAGCCACTTTTAACTACGTATAGCATGCACTAATATTGAAATGTGCGGTTTTCGAAACTTTTTATTTTACTTGTTAACTCGTGGAAATAAAGATTTTATTCAAATTCATTGAGAATGGAATGGCTCCGTGGGTGCCATTCCAATGCTAAATATCTGGTAATTTCTGATACAGTAGGGAACCGATTATCCGGAACGATCAGGATCATCGCTATTCCCGATAACTGATTTTTCCGGTTTTCTAAATCTTTACAAAAGGCCGTTTTTTTTATTGTCAATCCCAACTAAAAAAAAATTTTTGGAAATAATCTTAAAAAGAAGAAAAAACGAAGAACACTTATGATTATTTCCAAATTGATGGTAAGGTAAACATCTTTCAAAAAAAGAAAGAAAAATTCTAAAATCTTATGAGGAAAAATTTTTTTTATTTTTTTTTTAAAATGGCAGGAAAATTTATTGAATTTCACTCCGGTTTTTTGGTTTTCCGGCTTTCTGATTTCCGGATAACGGGTTCTGTACTGTACATGCAAATATGAAATGGTATAAAGCTAACAAATATGAAACAGTATGAATAGTGTAATGCTATCAAATATAAAATGGTATGAATGTTATAATACTATCGAATATGAAACAGCAAAGAAATTTGCGCTTATGCAATTTTCGAAAAGCTCCTATGAGTAAAGTGAAGGTGAAAGGGGAATACATAATTTTTCCCTCCTGCGTTTTTCTCACCAGATTATCTATCACCTTAATACTTGGAAAGTTGGAATCTCAAGCAAATGATTTTCTTTTTTGTACATAGTTTTAGTTACCACTCATTTTGCAGTGTTTCTTGAAATGTGTAATACAAAAGTTGTGTTAACTTCATTTTTTTTATGGTTTCTGTTCAGATTATTACCTGTAATTTTTACCACCAATAAGTAAAATTTAGCTCTTCAGATTCTCGGAATTATGAGTCAAACATCGGGATTCGCTTGAAAGTGATTTCTGAAGCACTTGTCTCATTAAAGTGATTTGTAAATCACTCATTGGGGTTAGCATTAAAATGCTTCCTGTATCATACAAAGTGATATGCATTTAGGTTTTTTCTAAAATACTTATTTGGATTCGTGTTAGAAGGATTTAAGAACTATGCATCTTACCTAGCATAACAAGGATTTGAGAATAACTGTTTGTGATTCTCATCAAAGTGATTTAGGAATCTCACATAGTGATTCTTTTTTAGTGACTTAGTGAATCATGTTATGCATTGCAATGATTACCAGATTATGAATCATTTTTGCATAAAAATGATTCGTAAATCAAATTTTGTGTTTTGCATTAAAGTAATCAAAGAATCATATGTGATTCTTTGATTAGATTCTTTGATTGATGAATCAAAGAATCATCAAAGAATCGTGATGATTTGAATTAAAGTGGGTTATGTATCACTCATCGCGATTCAGGAATTGTTACTTTGGGCATTTTTCAAACTGTATCATTTGCTATTCATGTTCCGATTTCTGACACATATGTTGTGATATGTAATTTACGCGATCTTCAAGGCTGTCTTGCTTCATGTTTCATGTCATTTGATTTACGTTTAACGATTCAAATTTAGGTGGATTATGTATCACTCATCCCAATTCAGGAAGTAGATCAATATTTTGGAGGTCAGAGAAAGTATGTTTCTTTTTCTGAATTTATAATTTTAAATATTGTCTGCACTAATTAATTAGTCCATTTGAAGTTACCCTTTCGAACCATTACGATTGAGTTTTAGAACATTAAGATTCGATCATAAAATCAAAAGTTATTCAGGGAGGTAATTTTTTTGATGCACTGTAAATTATACAATCAAAATGGAACAGAATAAAAATCCCATTTTAACTCTTATTAAGTTTAAGTTGATAGCCAAATCTTTTTTGTTTGTTAAGGATCTTATCCTTTTATGGCCCATAAAAATGCACTGCACTGACAACAAGGAGGTATAGCTTTAGAGCATTAGCTTTTCATGTTATTAAGATATAAATGCTTTTAAGCACTGTTTATTAAAATATATCAATTTATAAAATGTAAATTTCTATTGGTTCATATTTCTATCTACAATTAATGTATATTTTTAATATTATTGATGTAAATAATCTAAATTTGAGCCAGTTTATATTTTTCTATTTATTTATGCAATTATTTACAGCTGATTTTGGATTCTGCGCACAAATCTCACCTGAGCAAAGTAAGAGGAATACAATGGTTGGAACACCTTATTGGATGGCACCTGAAGTAGTTACTAAAAAACAGTATGGTCCAAAAGTAGATATTTGGTCTTTAGGAATAATGGCTATTGAAATGATAGAAGGAGAACCTCCATATCTCAATGAAAATCCTCTGAGGGTAAATATTTTTATGTTTTCCTTTATACTCGTACTGTGTGAGATTTTATTTATTACTTAATGTTTTCTTTAATGTTTATGCTAGAAAAATTCTTTCAATGGCAAGATTTAAGGATAAACTCTTGACATGTATTATAATTTGCCTTTGATTCTTGATAAAAGTTGCAAAAACTTTTACAAACTCTCGAACAATGCTGAATTTCTAATTTAAAGCTTTGCTAATCAAACGACAATATGTAAATTAAAAAATGTAGCTCTGTCATTAAAAAGTTGTAGTTTAAAAATATCAATCAAACGTTTAATTAAAATGTGAAGCATAGATTGAAACAGTTAAAATAGAATTTAAATCTAGCAATTAATACAGCTTTTATTATATTTCTAAGGGTTAAATTTCAAAACTCTCTCCCTGAGGCGTAAATATATCGGCTTATAAAGCCACTTTATATATTCAAATTTCCTCGGAACTAATGTGATTTTAATAAGCAACAGGCACTTTATACATACATACAAAATTAATGCATTTACCTAATAATGATAGCAAAGCAAAGATTAAATGAATTGACAATAATTGAATTAACATTCTATAAGTAAGAAAAAATTGCATATAAAGGAACTTACTACAGAAAAGAATTAGCACAATTGAAAGAGAAATCAAGCATTTTAGCCCAAATGTTCAATTTACCCTTTTGAAGGAATTTGGAGTATGCCCTGACCCCTCTTGCTTCATTTTTGTCAAATCAAGTTGTACTTTCTTGCAATGTATTTATTAATTTATTTTTTAGGCATTGTACTTGATTGCTACAAATGGAAGACCTGATATCAAAGACAAGGAGAAATTGTCTTCCACATTTCAGGATTTTCTGGACAAGTGCCTAGAAGTGGATGTTGATAAAAGATTTTCTGCATCTTCTCTTCTTAAAGTGAGTATCTTACATACATTTCAAAATACTTCTGTTCCATATAGCTTACCTATTTTACTGTCAGGTATGATTAATACATTTTTTTCTTTTAATTTCTTCAGTCTAAAGGGTTGTGATTCATTAGACTAGTTCTTCTTCCTTTAAATGGAAATAAGTAGGAGGTACATACTAGTTTTTCTAGAAAGTATTACTATTCTTTGACTATTTAAAAAGAAAAAACTTTTTTAGATTTTATGTAGAGCCATTTTAAGTATTGCCATATTTCTGAAATGATTATGCAGACATACATCTCACTATAGAAAAAAATCTGATCTGACATTGAAATTTTCCAATGATTACAGACAGAGCTTGTGATTAACATCATAGGTTCTTCTTCCTTATATGGAGAAATTTATATCTTGTTTTTTAATAAACTAATATTAACAAAGCAGCTTTTTTTCTTAAAAGAAAATCAGATTTGGAATAGTCAAGCCTGCTGTTTAAAAATGCATTCTTATATATATGAGCAATAGCTAAGCTTCTTTGGTTAATGTGCTTGTTAAATTTTGATTTATTGTTTTTGGGGCGTCTAGTGTTCACTTGTCATTATTCTTTTTAAAAAATAACCATTAATCTATTGCACTTAAAATTTTACAATATAGACTTTTGAGTGTTTATTCTATTTGATACTATATTTCAAACTTTTAAATGTTTATTCAATTTCAAACTATGGAATTAACATTTTGTAACTATATTTGCTGCTAATTATCAACTTGTTTCAAAATGGAAATTGAGTGAACAGTATTTTAAAATTTTCAGTTTAATATTAAACAAAGGTCTATAACTGTATCCTTAAAGTAAAATATAAAGCGATAAAGAAAAATGGAGGTAATTAATGTTAGAAAAAGTGAAGATAGATTAGCCATGTATACAGAAGACCAGAAAATTTTAATTGAGACAGGCTTTGAATTACACTTTCTAAAGTAAACTAAAAAAGGAAGGACCAAAGATGACTTGGCATAGAGGTATTGAGAGAGAAATCCAAAACTTTGCTGAAAATAAATTAAATAGAGCGGTATAACTAGTTAGGGTCTTATGTTCTTTTAAAAACTGAAGAGGTTGGAAAAAAATTTTCATGTTTGATATTTTTATTTTTTATGGTTTGAAAAATAAGACATTAGTACAATACAAAATATAATATTTATTTCCTTTATTTTTTTCACTTAAAGAAAGGATGGCCCCTATAAAACGCTTTATAAATAAGACTTTTACTTTTCAAAATAAATTCATTTAATATTTTTAACATATTTTTAATTTTTTATTCGTATATTCAAAGACTTCATACATTTAATACTTGTTGCTAAACCTTAGTTATCACAGGATTCCCGCGGACTGGAAATTTTTTAAAGTGGTAGCAAAAGTGGGATAAATCTGGATGTTTTAAGATAAAAATGAGTAGTTAATTTTAGGGAAATATGTAGGGATCCAAAAAAAGAGCTCTGGAATAATTTCATCATTAACCAAATTAAAGATAGATTTAAGCATTTTTCCGTAGTCTTGTAAAATCTTAGCTACTATTAACTAATTTTTTTTCCAGGTCTTGGGAACCCTGTATTAGACATGTAATTTATATTCGGGTCGTAAATTTTCATAACACTCACAAGATTAATTTAAATCTGAAACAACAAATTTTATTTTATTTTTATTTTTTACAATTAAGAATAATGTATATAGAGAGATCATTGTTAAAACACCTACTCACAACATTGTGCAAATTAACTATTACTATATCAAATATTTTTATAATTTCCAATTGAGTTTGGGTTAACTCTTCGCATCTCATTTAATTCTCTGTACTTTCCAAGAAAAGTCTGTCTCTCTAACACCATAGTCTACGGTAGCCAGCAGAGTCTCAGAAAATGTGAAAATAGTTATAATTGTAATTATTTTTTAATCTTTTTATGAGAGCTGCTAATATTGGAGATCTTTCTTTTCTTTTTTCTCTCTTTTTTAAAAAAAATTTTTCATTGAGTCTTAGCAAATAAAAGCACTTTACAAAGTACTTCTTGCACTCTACTGAAATACTTGTTAATTAGGATTTTACTGATTCCCCTTTTTGAAAAAATGAAATAATTTGGAAAACAGAAATGAAAATAAACTTGTGTGTGTATATATATATATATATA